TTGTCCCTCTGCCCTTTTTGTAGCCACAGTAAATTCATTCATTTAAGTTGTGCATGAGAACATGAAATCCTTCATGCTCAATTCTTTTTTCCATTTTAATTTCTTGTATCTGGGGGCTTAATGAGCCCTGAGGCCAATCAAGTTAGTTCAGGTTCATCAGTGCAGGCAATCAGATTGTAACGTACTTGAGTGGGGCTTCCTTGCAGGCACATTCAGGAGTTGCATAGTTTACATAACACGATATGTGCACAATTATCGGCAGCTGAGCAACTTTCTGAGTCTCTCTCAAAACAAATGGCTGCTCTAAATATAGATTCTTCTGCAAAAGAACAGGATGTGAAAAAGAAACTGTTTGAATCCATTGGTCTCTCCTATATTGGTGCCTCCCACGGCTCCCCGAAGGAAAGGGCTCTAGATGCGTTATCAAACAAAGAACTATTGATCATTTCTCATTCTGTTTCTGCTAAAGAGCAGTCTAGTAGACATCAGGCTAATCTTTCCAAGGGTTATGATCCAGAAACTGTAAGGCGGCGTCGAGACTCACTGGATCGGGTATATACCTTGGCCTGCTCTTTTTCTTTTTTTTTTTTTGGTTACTTAATCCAGATGAGTTGGAATCTTCTGCGTGCTTCTCATGCTGTCCCTAGTTTATGCTGCCTATATACCTGCATTTAACTTCCAGACGCTGTTATATATGCTTCTGGCTTCATGTCTTTTCAGTTTTTCATTTTCTTAACCCCTTTTCTTATTATTTTATGGTCATATACATAGAAAGAGCTAACTGTATTGTGATGCTGAGTAGCTGTGTTTAATCATTTGAGTAATACTGTACATTTATGCAATATGTGCAGAATAAGGCTCACATAAAGTTTCCAGATTAGACACATGGGGTCCACCCCCATGTAATTAAAATATTGTCAAAAAAATCACACCCACCCCACCCATTGTATCTGATCTGGTGGGGTTCTGTGAAACCCCACCCTTTATGTGTATCATCTGTCAATACTGTAAGCGCTGATATTCTATCCAATATTGCTTATGCATCCTTGCACGCGTTATGGTAACTGGGTATGTGACCAATCCGTTTTCAGACACAGCCTTAGTCAAAGCTTCTAGGAAAATCATTCTTTTATGTCCACATCAAATTTATACCTCAACATTTGGTTTGATCTTTCTTCTGATTCTGATAACTGAAAGGGGACCCTCAACCCTTTGCTAGGTAAGAATTCCATAAAATGACTATCACTCAGCTGTAGGTTTGGCACCATAAATTCCAAACCCCCCTTATCTAATCCAACAAACGATAGTCCCTTCGAACTGTCGGTTAACCTCGTTGGCTCGTTCTGACTGTAAAATTTGTGGATTCAGTTTCTTTCTATAGGGATCAGTAGTTTGTCGTGGTGTTATAGAAATACATGAACATCACGACTTTTAAAGCTTTTGATTTTTGGATTACATTTATTTCCACCACCTTTTGCTGCTTAATTTCTCACCACTATATGCAGAGCTGGGCTAGATTTGAGCCTCCAAAAACAACTGTCAAAAGGATGCTTTTGCATGAAGATGGCGAGTTGACTGCAAATCGATCATTGTTTACGGATGATAAACAAGATCTAACTCCTCAATTCCAGAAGGGACCCGAAGTTGCTCGTTCACCACTTTCTAATGTCTCGGCAGCCTCAAACAGAGGTAAGTCCCACTTTTGGATAACATACAATTTCTTTTGGAGCTTATGTTTTACCAACAATAAAAAACTTAATGATTATTTTCTGTTGCTTGGGCCCTCCTGAAATTCCAGAAGATCTATCCATTGAGAGATCATCACCATCTTTGGCCCGACAGACAGCTAGACTTCTGGATGGTGGAATGCAAGTATTATCAACAAAACCTTCTGCCTTAACATCACAATCAGCATTGGAATCAATCATTACTCGAGATATTGCGGAAGGAACTCGCAAACTGACTGATGAGAATTTAAAGTGTAGTCGACCTTATGCAAGAAAGAATGATGTCTTTGCATCAAGTGAACCTAAATTTTCTCCGCAGTCTAAAATGCATGTCAGTCAAACTCCATCGACCACCACTAGGTTGGCTGCACAAACACTGACAACATCCAAAAATTCCAGTGAAATTTCAGTTCATAATGATAAGAAACTTGGTTCAACTAACTCTACAACTGGGGATGAGAATCATATGCCAGCAATGACTGGAAGCCCATTATTTGAGCCTAAATATTCATTTGCCCATGCATCTACTTTTGGTTCAGGTTCCAACCTGACAAAGAAAAATTTACACACCGAAAATTTATCAAACCAAAGCCAGCCCCGTTTAGTCGTATCATCTTCTACATCACTTCAATCAACTCTGAGTTCATCATTACCTTCTACATCTACCTTGCCCTTTTCAACTCCTGAAATGAGTGGAATCTCATCTATTTCCCAGCCTAGGCTCGAGTCTCCAAAATCAGCAAGTCAGCCTCCTGTGGTCATGTTCGGCACAAAGACAGATGGAATTTCTCCAACTCATACTTCAATTGCCAATTTGTCTTCAACAGTAGAAGAGAGTATTACAACACAGGCTTCAGCTTCTAAGGTTGAGTTTCCCACACCTACATCTGATTCGGAATTTGGACCTTCAGCGCCATCTTCAACAACTGAATTTTCAACCAAGTCAAAATCTGGTAATCAAGTAGATTTAGGTGGCATGTTAAGTTCATTGTCAGATATTGCATCAAATATTAAGCCAGAAGAGCCTTATGCGGCGGAAGATCCACTAACAACAGCTGTGTCAAGTGCTGGGATCGTTCCTGAAGTGAAACATGTAACTTCTGATGCTTCTTATGAGGATGAAATGGAGGAAGAAGCCCCTGAGACAGATCAAACAACTGAACTTGCATTAGGAAACCTTGGTGGGTTTGGTCTGGGATCAACACCAAACTCAATGGCTGCAAGTTCAAATCCATTCGGTGTAGTGCTCAACAGTGATGCTACTCCAGCTAGCTCAACATTTACAATGTCCGGTCCTAGTGGTGAGCTGTTTCGACCTGCATCCTTTAACTTCCAATCTCTACAACTTTCTCAAGCACTGCAGCCAACAATGAATGTCGGTGCCTTTTCTGGTGGATTTAATACCGGGATCACTAGTCAAGCTCCTACTGTAAGTGGGTTTGGACAACCAGCACATATTGGATCTGGGCAACAAGTGCTGGGATCAGTGCTTGGTGGTTTTGGACAGTCGAGACAGCTTGGTGCTGGTCTTACTGGAACTAGTGCTGCTTCTGCAAGTGGCTTTGGTAGTGGTTTCATGGGTGTTTCGTCCACTAGTTCTGGAGGTGGCTTTGCTGCTGCTTCCACTGGTGGTGGATTCGCCAGTTTGGCATCAGTTGGTGGTGGATTTTCTAGTTTGGCATCAGGTGGGGGTGGATTTGCTGCTGCTGCTGCCGCTGTCGCTGTCGGACCTGGGAGTGGTGGATTCACTGCTGCAGCAATAGGTGGTGGTGGGTTTGCAGGAGCTGCTGCCACAGCTGGTACTGGGTTTCCAGGTAAATGTTGTGTTGGATTTATTTATTGCAGATTATAACTAAGTATTGATCTATAAGATACATGAATTTAATTGTGAAAGCAATAAATATTTGAAGCGCTGAAGTCATCTTTATGAGACGTGAACTTGATCATGAAATTTTAATTGCAAGCAGGGAACCATGTCTCGTTCAGAACTTGCAATAAAGCGAGTTAGTAAAGGATGCACCTAGTTTTAGGAGTATGCTTATGAAGGCCCCTTGTTTCACAAAATTATTAATGATATATTTTTATTTTTGGTGTAATGTAAAGGTAGTGGATTTGGAGGTTTCGGCAATCAGCAAGGTGGTGGATTTGGAGGTTTTGGCAATCAGCAAGGTGGCGGCGGCGGTTTCTCAGCATTTGGTAACAATTCGGGAGCTGGAAGACCTCCAACTGAACTCCTCACACAGATGAGGAAATAGGCTCATAGAGAAGTTCATGGGGACGAATATTTCTATCTATTATCTTTGAGTATTTTCTGTAGGCCTTACTGTTTTGTATTTATCTGATACTTTGTTGCGAAAGATTTGTTTCTGATACTTTCTTATCAAATTTGATTTTCGCAGAGTGATTCTTGGTGAGGGTGTGATCATTCATTAAATGTAGAAAATGAAGTTTTGAACTCTCTTTTGCAATTTTACCTTTTTAAAATTGGATTCTATATTGGTGGTCATGTTGACAAAATCAAAAGATAAAGGGCCAAGCTGCAAATTGACAGATGGTAATTTGGACGTGGCGTCTAATAGTTGCCCGTTGCTACAAAATTATATAAAGGAGTTACAAATTGTAATTTTATTTATTTTGTGACTCTAATTTTCTCAATATTTAAAACTAGTAAAAGGTTGTGAATAACTTTCAGCTAAGGCGAGGGGGGAAAAATACCAGTATGTCAAGCTGGAAGTCAATTTTTTTGATCTTTCATTATAAGCTCCCGTTTTAAAAATTTAAATTTTAATATAAGTCAAAGTCAACAATTGATTTTAATTTGGAATTTTATGGGATATATAAATTTTCAATTGCATTTTGTCGAAATATACTAAAAAGAAGGGCTAAATAAATTTCTTATATAGATTTTCGCCCCAACTTTTCACATGATATAGTTAAGGTCTTTGACCTTCAAGTGTAGGTTCAATCGATTCAAGAGGTTTGACCATACTTTTGATTAAAAATTTTAATTTATGATGGTTTCGACAAGTTAAATTCAACAATTAGTTTTAATTACAGATTTTAGAGAATTCATAATTTTTCAATTACACATTCAATTTTTATTTGGTAAATTCTGATAAAAATTGATGAAAATGATGGACGAGAAATTAAAATAAAAGCCTGATAAATTGAAAAATTAATAAATTTTAACAAAGTTTTTATAAAATCCTAGATAATGCAACCCTATTTATTTATTTATTTTTAGCTTCCAATTAGAGAAATTAGATAAATTGGAGGGATAAAAGAAGAAGAGCAGGAGTGGAGAGGAGGCATTTGTGCTACTTCAATGCAAACACGGAAATGTACATTTCTAATCTCAATTACTGATATTAATAATGCGACAAAATTGTCAATTGAAATCAGCGCTGGGCTAGGTCAGGTAAGGTTTTTCACTTTCTTAACGGGAATCTGTTATCAAATTTAAGTACTCTCTGAAAGGAAACCCTTTTGATTCTCCGATCGATTAGAATTTTTATCATTCGAGAAGAAATACAGGAAAGGAATTAATAGTGGAGTGATAAAGTAGGAATTGTTCGAATTCGGCATATGATGCGTTGTGGATTGAGGTGGAGAGAAATACAGGCATGGATTCGGGATTATGATAGGATTCAGTCGCTTGCAGTTAAACTGATCTACGTTCAGATTGGTTGTTCATTAATTGGATCGCTTGGGGCGTTTTACAACGGGGTCTTGCTTGTTAATTTGGCAGTTTCCTTATTCGCCCTTGTCGCCATTGAGAGCAGTAGCCAGAGTCTCGGCAGGACCTATGCCGTTCTTCTATGTTGCTCCATTTTGCTGGATGTTGCCTGGTTCATTCTCTTCTCTCACGAAATCTGGTGCGCCCTTTTTCTTATGCGTCATACTTGTATATTTCTAGTTCAATTTCTTCTTCATTTCCGTATCTTGTACGTCATCTTGTCATGTTGGAATGCAAGAAAACAGTAAGAAATCTTCTTGAATTCGTAAATGTTTATTTCAGTCATCTTTTTAGCGACACTGATATTTCCAAGAGTATAGTTGAAAGTAGCATAGGAATGTAATTTCTATTTTTTATTCTAGTTGAAGAATTTATCAGTACATAAATTGTTTTGTAGTTTCTTGATTCAAACTGGTTGATTGACAATACTTTTATGACTTATTTTTTATTTTTATTTTTATTATTATTATTATTATTATTTTTTTTTCACTCCCATTGTCAATTGTGAGAATGTGCCTGGCTTGTCCAGAGGATAATTCAATTCCACTTCACAAGTCCAACATTGCAGGGTTAGTAACATCCAAATGCATAATGCACAGTGTTACCCTTGCATTCAGGCAAACCATTTTCCTTAGTTGACAGTACCTGGAATTATTAGGAAGCACAGCTGGTCTTTAAATGATTCTTTCTCCAGTTCAAACACGTTTAGTCATTAGTGACTAATTAAATCTGACTTTTTATGAGCTGATTTCCAGTTGGGTTTTGCCCAGATTGGATGAATACAAGGAAAGTCCTAATCATCTAAGTCTGCAGCTGAATCAATTCAGACTAGCTGATTTCCAGTTGGGCTTTGCCCAGATTGGATGAATACAAGGAAAGTCCTAATCATCTAAGTCTGCAGCTGAATCAATTCAGACTACCCAAGAATTTGGCTCAATTAGGTTCATTTGTCCGTTACGAATGTGCACTAGCCTATCAAGTGCATTTATACTCCTCAACCTTGCTTTCAGGCGATAATTGATCTATATCTCTTGAAGCTAAATGTATTTATTCCTATCATCACATTTAATTGATTCTTTTTTACCTTTTTCTTCAGACTGATTTTATTCTTTTTGGGAGCACTGAAAATTTAATTAGTCACTAATGACTAAACTACACAATAAGAAAACAAAGGAAAAATTATTGACATTAAAGATTTAAGTTTAAAGAACAAAACAAATTGTTGTGATTTCGACATGATGCTCCGAGATTGTAAATGGTCTTTAAAATGTGACATGGTGATTACCTACCCCAAAATCTTGAGTCAGAAGGACGAAAATAGATCTAGGCATCTAGCATATACTTTTACGAAATGATATGCTTTTTCATTATGCTACGAATCTTGTTTATTCGTTTTATTGAGCTTTCTGCAAGATAGTGCCATGCACTTTTCCATGCATGTAGGAGAAAGAGAAAACTTCCCACCTTCACGGGAGAGTATATATCCCCATCATTAAATGGACAAAATACCCTCTATAATTATGTTTACACGAGTTTAAGCTTGGCCAGAATTTCATTTCTCTGAAGATTCTATGAACTTTATTTCCCACAGACCTAGTTCTTGGCTTCATGTCCTGTTAGTTTTATCTGAATACAATCGTCAGAGAAGCACTGTACAGATAGAAGATACACTTGCCAGTGCATCTTCACTCTTATCTGAAATCTCAATTCTCTTATATTTTTCTATAGTATAGTTTCAAGATTGGTTGTTGAGGCTTCTATTATTCTCTCTACTATGTGCTGATGCTATTGTTGAACTAAGGAAATTCATATGTGCAGAATTATCGACTTTTTCAGATTATGAAAATAAAAGATCTAGAGAATCAACTAAAAGGACAATTTGTGGTTTGATCACATATTTAGTCTCATGGCTAACAACCAAACACTAGCTAATTAGACAACTACATTGTGGAAGTGTTTCAGATTGTCACAGAATGCTGTTTGTTGACTCCGGATTAATTGATGCAAATTGCATGTAGTCTTCACTACATTACTTGTTTGGGTATATTTGTCTATCTATATTCCGGAAATGCTTATTTTTCTTGTGATGCGGGGATGTGAGCTCCCATCCCACCTCATCTCCACACATTCTACACACCTTTGTTTGTTAATTTAACTCAATACATCTGTCTTCTCATAGTTACCATCTTTGGACTCTTCTAAAGTTTCATCTATGCATATGCAGGCACATTTCATCTGAGATTTATGGAACTTTTGTTATCCTTTCGGTGAAGCTCACCCTAACAATGCAGATTATTGGATTTTCAGTGAGGTTATCATCTTCATTACTATGGATACAGATGTACAGAATGGGTGCTTCTTACATAGACAATTCAGCTCCTCGAGAAACAGATGTTGATTTGAGAAATAGTTTCCTAAATCCTGCAACTCCTATAGTTAGACACCCCTCTGGTTCTGATGATGTTATTGGTGGTGCTACATATGATCCAGCATATTTTTCGTCTCTTTTTGAAGATGGTAGAGATGATGCAAGTTTGTTAGGGGTATGATCCTCTCACTATGTTTGAGCTGTTCAACATTACCTCACCTCACCCTCCTGCCATTAAAAGTACTAGAAAAGGTAAAAAGAAAACGTAGAAGCGCGCAGAAGATATTAAAAGTCACTGCATCAACTCAAAAATTGAAAAGCTAAGCATCACTCTAAAGCTTTAAATCACTCTCTCAGGAGGCTAGTGAAATTTTAGGCAAATGTGAGCTTACACAAATGGTAAAATGGTAAAGCTAAGATCATGTTGGTTTAGAGGGAAAAAAAGATTTTTCACATGAATGATATAGTTCAGTGGTACTAAGAAAGGTGTATATTCAGCTATAACAGAATTACTAAGTAGACACGGACATACATGCGCGCGCGCGCACATACATACACGAGAATATTAGAAGTCACTGCATCAACTCTAAAATTGAAAAACTAAGCAACAGCTTGGATGTTGTTTAAACTTAGGGGTTGAAATCAACCTGAAGTAGGAAAATACAAGTTATCTGAAGCTATATTATTCCTCTCCTAGATCAGTTATGAGGCTCACAAGTAGCTCCCTCAGGCATCTATTATGTGATGTGAATAAATGCACCTGACATTGGGTGGGGTGTGCCTTTTGGGGAGTTTTGGGAGGGGGAGGGGAAGAGGAAGTAATGGTGCTGGGCGAGGATGAATTGCAATTACGAGGAAGAAAAATGGGCATACTTCACAGCAGGAAGCCGTATTAGATGTTAAAATTAAGGGGATAGTCTTGAGGTTCCATGATTTGTGAAACATGAGACTTCAGCAGATTGAATATGGATATTGTACTGTAGCAGTAGCATTTTGATTTAGAAGCAAGCAGTACCGACCTGGAGAAAGTTTTTGCAGTAGCCAACACTATGGAAGTGGTATAAAGCCCTCTGGGTCGGTCTCTTGATGGCCATAGATATACTACTGCTGGTGGGGAAGTATAGGTGGATGACACTGAAGACAATAATCAGAAAGTAATATGAAGAGGAAATAGAAGAAAGGAAAAACTGAAGGCTATGAATATAGGGATCCTGAGGATTTGCTGTCTGGCATATTTCATAATTTAATAATTCAAGAGATTGCAATCAGGCTTAGTAATGATAATGATGTTTGAGAGCTACATATGCTCTTACAAGCTGTTAAATCATTTTTTTCCCTGAATGCTTTTTGATTTTTATACGTATTTTTTTCCCACCTGAATCACTTTCAATTAACAATCATTTTGGAGTGCACATATGGCATCTTTACAGACATTGTGGTCTTCTTTTTAATTTGCAGGGTGGTCAAAATCATGGCATTGCTACATTGGAATCGCCCTCTTCTGCTGAAACTTCTCGACTTAATCCATCAATGAGCAGATCCTATCGTATTGAAGATGTGAGTTAGTGATAGTTATCTTAGTGAGCTTTATATACAGATTCAATTGCCATTCACTAAAGGAAATAACATTTTGCGATCTCCTTGTGTAGTCCAACAAAGTCTAGTCATGTTATTTGAAAATGTTTGATTAGATCATTTTGAGATTTTACCGCTGGGATTTTCATCAGCAAACTTCCCAAATGTAGAAATTTAATGCTACCAATGCTGGCAAATGAAGGGATATAGTTTTTAGATTCTTAATTTATCCTGCAAATTTTAGATTGGTGATAGCTACTATCAACTTCCATAATAATAATAACAACTCACAAATTAAACTTTTTCTGCAGGGCGATAATGCTGCACGAAAGCTCCAGATAGTTTGAGTCGAACTAGTTCTTTCATTTGGTGGTGTTGATACCCCGTATTCTTTGGAGGATTATTTTTTCAGTAAATTCTGCAGGCTCGTGTTAGATGGTAAGGCTTGTAAAGTTGTCCAGTTACTGTATTATTTTCTTGGCGAAGATGCACTCGAAGATGTCTTGATGTATCTTAATGACTGAATGGTTGTGTAAAGATCGTTTCTTTGTCAAAAATTTTGAAGCAATAGAAAGGTAGCCTTTAAGAATTAAGCCTATGAACTGCATTGTCAACTCATCTTCTCAAGAAGAAAAATAGAAAGGGCACAGATCAAGCTTGACCTTATGATAACAATATCAATTTTTTCTACAAAAAAAATCTTAATGAAATATTTAAAATAATTTATCGGAAGTGCAATGAACAATAGAGTGCACATTTTTTCAGTAATTTTAGTGACATGGAAATCGGTTTTGTTTGCTTTGAAATGCAGCATCTTGTGAATCCATCGTGTTTTTGAATGAAAGTTGTGCTTGAAATTATGAGTACGTTTGTCTTCGCGTCCTGCGTTGTTTTAAAAAAATAATAATATCTTTTTAAAAAGATACATTTTTTCACAACGGTCTATTCTCATTTTGGACAATGACATGTCATTGAAGAGAGAAATTTCAAAGTCCATCCAAATAAAAATGAAATGAAATTTATCTAAACTTTCCAAGTCGAAGAAAACTCCACTTTTGGTCAGAAAAATTCGTCATAATAAATAGGTAAGTAAAGTAGATCCATCATCTCTCTCCTAAAGTTTTGAATAATGTATATCTCTCTTGAAATCATCATAAACCTTGAAGGTAAACGTTACTCAAAACATGAAATAAACAAGGTTTGTGCTGTATTTGAAAAATGAGGTGTTTTCAAAATTATCAGAAACTCGAGGGGAGGTCTTTGTAACTTTTTCTAAATAATTTTTTTTATTAAACGTGTTATTTATGGATTAGAGATGATCACTAGTTTATGTGGTGGGTGATGAGTTATGAAATGTTGAAGTCAATTAAATGTATGAACGTGAGACTCATTTTATAGGTCTTATTAATGTTGCCTCTTATGTAATCATCTTTGATGAAGATAAATTATATTCATTTTTATTGTTAGAGGGTTACGGTAATAGTATATCACGATGAAATAAATATACAACTTGTATAAGTTTGCACTACTCTTCTTGACAAGTTTCACTTTGAAAAATAAAATTTCAAGTCTTGATATTTTATCAGAGGTCTTTATATTCAATAAGCAATTTGATTCAATTAAAATTTAAAAGAGCGCACAAATTTTAAGTTTGATATTTTCAAATGAGGCATAATTTTATTGGACTTGTTAAAGATGAAATAAATAGGCAAGATGTGAAGTCCCCCAATTCTTAATCCAAAGTTAGTTACACTAAAATGAGTGTTCTTTTCACAAATATATAAAATTTTTACTCAAAATAAAGTAAGTTATATTAACACGATTGAAAATAAAGTTACTTATTCTAAAAACTCTAATGATTTCGAAATTAATGGGTTTATTTTGACTGATGACTACTGAACTCCACAAATATTTTTGAGAAAATTGCAGCAACAATCCATGACCTTCAATTTGTGCCAATAAAAATTCCTAAACTTTCAAAAATATGCAACTAGGGTCCATTTGACCGGTAGTTGACCAATAATCAAAAGATTGACCTGACCAATTTGAAAAGGATAAAATAATAATTTTATATTTTATATAATAAAACATATAAAATAAAACAATTATTTTTTTTTTAAAAAAAACCTATTAAAAGGTACCCCTCTCCACCCTTTCCCGCCCCCCAATCCCAAAATCAACACGACCAGGGCTATGCCACAGGCACAACATTTCGGCCGCCAACACCATCGCTCAAATCGGGGATACTTTTAAAATGGACCTAGTCAAAGGTCCTTATTTCCACTTTGACTTTTAAAAACTTGAAAACTATTATATTAACCTCTTGAATGGTAAAAGACAGAGATGCTCTTAAATATATTATATAATTACAAAATATTGGATAGTTTAAAAGACATTATTACTCTTTTAGTTAATAGTTAAAAATTAAACACTTCCACACTTATAAAACTGCAGAACGAGTTTCGAACAGAGAAAAACTCTCGTTTTTCATCTGCTTGAACCTCAAAATATCAAAAAACTTCAAACGCCGAAACCAGAATTTTTTTTAGATCAATTACTTCATATCGGTAAGTATATTTTTACACATGCTTAATTTCGATTTCAGTAAATTAGTGTACTTTAGTAGTTAAATAACACAGTAGTTAGTAGAATTTTTTTTAACAGATCTATAATTTTTTTCTTTACAATCATAGAAAAATAAAAAGTCATACGCAAAATAAACAGTCCGACGATTAACTGTGGGATGTTAACAAAGACTGTTAGACAGCAGACATCCAACTGTCAAAAGACTGTCTAACAGCCGACAGCCGACTTGATAGTCAGCTGTTTCTCTAACAATCGACTGACAGTCCGCTGTTTAAGCCGATTGTTGACTTTAAGCAACCGACTGTCGGCTGTAAAACAGTCCACATGTTTTTCCTGACTGTTTTATGAATTTTTTTTATTATTAATTTCTGTTTTGGCAGTTGTCTTATAATTTTAATTACAAGTTGATTAAATATCTGAATTTTTGTTGTTGTAATTGATTTAAAAATTCTATATCGTCATGCAGATATGATAATCCTGGTCTGTTATTTCGGTGATTTTGAACTGAATGAAAATAATAGATGGGAATGGAGATGGACGAGTGATGTATGTGGTTGTATTGCAATTCCTGTAACAGAGAGTACATCATATGTGGAAGTGTACCACGATTTGCAAAATAAGTTGAATGTCGATTCTTCTTAGTACGATATGCAACTGAGATATTTATTCAATGGTTATGGGGATTCGTCCATTCCGATGCCACCTATATTTGTTACTAATGATGCTAAATTGAATTATCTATTAGAATTGAATAAAATGTATAGAACTCCGACTGTTCTTGGCGTGACTTTAATTAAGAAGGATGTTGTCGAAGGTGAACGCGAAGATTCAGATAGAGCGGATAATAATGATCAAGATTTTTGGGAGATAGTGGAGATAGTTCCTGCAGATGATATGGTTATTCCCGAGTTAGTTGCTACTGATCGTGAAGTCAATGTTACGCACAGAATTTCGTCGACAGTTGAGGACAACGAAAATATAAATAATTTTACAAATGAACATTTAATTGCTTTATCACGACAGAGACCTGAGCGGAGTGGGAGCTCAGGGGGTGGAACAAGTGGACCGTCCTCCAATTCTTTGCGTGTGGCTCCCGATGATGAGGATTTGTATGTTGAGCAATTATTTGAAATCAAGAAAGATTTGCAGGAAGCTGTGCATGGGTAGTCTTTAGAATGGCTGAAAAATTAGTTCTATTTTCCACAATGGCCTTTATAATAGGGAATACTATTTTACCCTTACTTTTATTATTTGGAAGATGTATCCTATATCTTTTAATTATTAGGTCTTTCAGGATTATATCTTACAATTCTTCCTAATTTCTCTAAATATTATCTGTATTTTGATAATTCTTCAAAGATTCTAGGCTGATCTTTTTTAGTTATATATCCTAGAACTATTCCTTCTGAAACTTCTTCCTCTATATTTTTATGTTTAGTTATAATATCTTCTACCTTTTTTATTTCTCTGCTAGTTCTTACAGAATAAAGTCTTATATTATGTTTATAATAATAATCTATATCTCGATATATTCTTCAAGTTTTTCTTTGCCAACAGAAAATATGTCTTCAGATTTTTCAGCTAATTTAAGTAAAAACGAAATATCTTTCTTATCTAAATATAATATATTATCATCATTAGTATTGGATGTGGATACTTGTGAAGTGTTCATCAAAATTAATCAAAGCATAAACATGTAAAAACGAGTAAATAACTTACAGTAATCGAATAGAAGTAAACAGACTTTCCCTCCAGTATGCTCTTATAGATGCTTTGCATGTACTTAATCAATATTCTGAATCAAGTAAAAGTTTAAAATATTTTTTGGAATCACTTGGGTCCAAAACTGCTTCCGCAAAAGGCTTTTCAATTAAGGTTGCATTTCTTACTCTAGAGAACTAGCCGTGTTTCCACAGACGCTATTTTACAGTATCCAGAGTCTCTGTTTTCACCTCTATTCAGACTCTTTTCAGAATCAAGTCCTTACTTGGAACGAAATTTTAAAAGATAACTCACACACAAGGTGTTACGATTTGTTAGAAAATTGCCTTTTTCCTCTTAACCATTCATCAAAGAAGGGTAGTTTGGCATGACTAACATCCATTCAAAATCAATGTTTTGAAAATATTTTAAAATCTCTATCTGTACTGCCGAGGAATCATGAGAAACTTAACGAAATCCTTTTATGAAAGTTTTGTTAAACATAACAAACTTCACTTTAATATTCATAAACTGAAATAGCACATGCTTACAATCTATATTTACATACCTTTGGTACTCACCTTATAAAGTTTAGAACTCCATAAGTGATTATTTTATTACAAGCTTTGCTATCTTCTGACTATCTAATATTTTTGAATACAAGTGGTGTATACAGATTACAAAAATATTTGAGATGTGTTTCTTCAGAGTGTTTTAGGGATAAGTTGTTTCGAGATGTCTTCCCTTCTCCTCTTGCCCCCTTTTATAGAAGGTTTTGAGAATCTTATCTTGACAGCTGTATCCTCATTTTTTTTGGTGGGTAGCTCAGTAGTCTTATCTCCACCGATTTTTCCATTATCTTCTTGCTAGGTGGACCTCTCCTTTTGAAATTATTTGCCTTATCTTTGAATTTGTCTTCCACTTTGACAACCAGTGGGTGAGTGGTCACAATTATGGAGACTTTCGTGCACTATCTTCTATCTTTTAGTAGCCACAGTTTTTCTTTAATAAATTTCTTTATCAAAGTAGTGATAAAGGGCTACTTTTGTCACTATCACTTTTCCATCTTCGAATCAAAGAAGTCTGCAGGGAATTCTTCACTGTTGAGAGATGCTTGACTCATATCTTCTACTACGCAGTATTCGCAATGGTGGTCACTGTAGTTCCAAAGTAGTTTGCATAGTTCTTTCGCCATATCTTCTGAACCATTTACTTGGTTTGAGATAATTGAGGATAATAAATGGTTAAGATAACATATATCTTCTTCCTTTGTTGCCATCCTTGCATTAGAGTAGATTATATGGTC